TGCAGCCATTGACAGGAAAGCTGAGGACAAAGGTGGAAGGAAGAGGAGAAAACCGGGACGTTTTGAAAGAACCTGAGGAAAACGGAAGAGCAGAAGAGTAACAAGAAAGAAAGAATAAATAGATAAAGAAAGGAGGAAAGAGGAGTAGGAGGCGTGGGTTGTGAGGGGCGGAGGCTGGAGTGAGTGAGGCACCTGGGCCTCCTCCATTTTTACCTCAGCGCCTCCTCCCTCTTTCTCTTCCTCCTCCTCCTCCCTCAAAAGTCGCTCGGTTTCGGCTTCCATTCCCTTCCTCCGCCCGGAAACCGAGGCGCCACGTTGCCCTGAGCCGGAGGAAGGAGGAAGGATGGAAGGAGGGAAAGAAAAAGAGAAAGAGAAAGAGGAGAAGGAGGAGGAGAAGACGCCGCTCCTGTGAGGGGAAAGAAGGGCCTCAACGGCGGCCTCCTCTTCCCGCGCTTCCCTCGTCGCCTCACAGGTGAGAGAGAGTCCGCCATTGCCCCCCCCCCCCCCCCCCCCCGCTTTCCTCAGCCCTCAGAAGCTGCAGAAGCAATCCAGGCTGAGGCCGCTTTAACTGCCCAGGCTCAAGGCTTCTGGGAAATGTAGTCCTGGGAGGCGTTTTAGCCTTCTCTGTCACAGAGAGGGCCTGTACAGACTGCCAGAAATAATCCAGTTTGAGACCGCTTTAACTGCCCTGGCTCAGTGCTAGGGAATCCTGGGAACTGTAGTTTATTGTGGCACCAGAGCTCTGAGGCTCAATGTCTCACCAAACTACAGTTCCCAGAATTCCCTAGTATTGAGCCAGGGCGGTTAAAGCGGTCTCAAACTGGATTATTTTTGCAGTGTGTTTGGACTTTTTTGGAAGTGCTGGCAGACCACATGGAAACCAGTGTTTTGTACAACCTGAATTTTCTAGAGCATTTAATGTGGATTAGTGTCTAATATATATATATGTATATAATATATATATATATATATCTTTTTATTACAAAACCCAAAAGAGTCCTATCTATCTTATTTATCTATAAAGACTCTTTTGGCTTTTGTAATAAAACAGCTTTAATGTGAGTTTGTTGGGACAAGTATTCTCCAAAGTTTCCCTATGGGCAAGTATGGTTTCTTTATGGGCAAATATTTGTTTATTTACTATCTTTTCCTTTAGTTTGTTCCCTTTTATTCAGAGGCTGATACAGTTGTAACAAATTGTTATTGTCATGATGATTGTGATTATTAGTTTATTCCTATATATAGATGATGCTTGACAACAGAATGGAACATTTGTAACTACAAATACCAAAGTTACATGTTGCAAAAAATAAAGTAAAATAAATAAAAGCTCCCAATTCAACAGCATTGAGCCATCGCAGTCAAAGTGGCGTCAAACTGGATTATTTCTGCAGTGCAGAAGCATTGAGTTATAGTTAAAGTGGCGTCAAACTGGATTGTTTCTGCAATGCAGACGCATTGAGCCGTCGCAGTCAAAGTGGCGTCAAACTGGATTATTTCTGCAGTGCAGATGGCAGCCATAGTCCCAACACCCAAATTACTATGTCAAAGCTACCTGGAACAAAATATAATTTCTCTATTTTGGGGGAATGGGAAATCGCTGTCTGTGACAAGAAAATCAAGAGTAATTTCAGCTCTCGCCATTGACACAGTCTGGGCTCTGGCTACTGCCAACAATTTTATTTATTTATTTAGATATATTTCAATCCTGTCTTTTAGGGCAAGCCCTCACAAGCACAACAGAAAGCAGACAAACATACTGAGATGTACAAAAAGTAATACTGAGATTATTATGGCTGGAGAGGTACTTGCTTTAGGCTGCACTATCCTATGCATACTTAATTCGGAATATTATGTCTCATCGACTTCAGCACTATTTACTTGTTGTGGGTTTGCACTATATTTATTATAGAAGCAGGAGAGAGTTGTTTTTATTAATTCAGTGGGTCTTCTCAGTACACTTGGCACTCCGCATTTGTGGCTTTGGTTATTTATGGATTTGATTAATATATTCTCTCTTGGAATCCCTAGGTCCTCCAGAGAAATTCTGCTGGAATTTGACCATAGAGTTGTTCTGGAGGACCTAGAGATTCCTAGAGAAAACACTTCTCTTGGCATTTGTAGGTTTTCCAGCATGATTCTGTGGTCAAACTCTGGCAGATGTTGACCATAGAGTTGTGCTGGATGACTTAGAGATTCCTAGACAGAACACTTCTCTAGACATTTTTAGGTCCTTCAACACAATTTGACCGAACCTCTGGAGGTTGACCATAGAGTTGTGCTGGAAGACCTAGAGATTCCTAGGGAGCATATTTCTCTTGACATTTTTAGGTCTTTCAACACAATTCTGTGGTGAATTTCTGCTGGAAATTGACCATAGAGTTGTGCTGGAGGACCTAGAAATTCCTAAAGAGGTGTTCTCTCAGGTTAAAAAAAAAAAAAAACAAATGTGGAGGGACCACCGTAAATAGCTGTGCATCCCAAACGTTGTGTGCACAACTTATTGGGATTCGTTCTCTAGTATGTTTTAAAATTTCTCACTATTTGTGGTGGCAACCAGCCCAGCAGAGCGTTGTTTCTGAAAAGGCAGAGATCATGGCTTCCAGGTGTGAATTTACCGTGTTCTTTCATTATCCCTGGCAGCGTTATCGTTTCCCTTCCCTTTTTTATAACCTATCAGTAAAACCTTGCTGCAAAAGCAAGCAGGTCATAAAATCGCATGGTGATTCAGAGCTGCCCTTTTCTACAGGTTTTAGTCTGGACTCTGCCCTTTTGGTTCGCTAATCTTTGTTTGCCTTGCCTTTCGTTTGGTCAAACACAGGCTAGCTCACCTTTGAAAAAGGGACTTTTTGGCCTGGACAAAACCTGCTTTCAGGTAAGCATTAACTTTCTTAGTCTTGAATTTTGAATGAGCAGCCGCCCCTCTCTATAATAAACACAGTGGGCTTCTTAAATAGCATCCTTCGTTTTAAGGAGAGACTCTTGGGAGAAAACATATAAATAACAGAGAGAAGAATGCGTGAGAAATGTTTAGAGGAGGAAGAACAAGTGATTTTCTGATATGGTTTGCATAAGGTGGAGCTATTGAGGTCTGTCCAAACTCTACATTGTTGTACATTGCACATGAAATTTTTGATTCCTTTGTGAACAGGTAATCCTGCTGGTGACTGATAAGGAGTTTTAGTATTTTTGTTATTGTTGTGAGCGTTCACATCGTTTCCAACTCAAGGCGACCCTAAGGCTTTCTTAGCAAGTTTCTCCAGAAAGGGTTTGTCATTGCCATCCTCTGAGGCTGAGAGAATGTGACTTGCTCAGGGTCACCCAGTGGGTTTACATGGCCGAGCAGGGATTCGAACCCTGGTCTCCAGAGTCATAGTCCCAACTCACAAAGCACTACACCACACTGCCTTTGTTTTAGAATGGTCCAAAACACACTGGAGAAATAATTCAGTTTGACGCCACTTTTAACTGCCCTGGCTCAGTGTTAGGGAATCCTGGGAACTGTAGTTTATTGTGGCACTTCTCTGAGAGAGAAGGCTCAATGTCTCATAAAGCTACGGTTCCCAGAATTCCCTAGCATTGAGCCAGGGCAGTTAAAGCAGTCTCAGACTGGATTATTTTTGCAGTGTGTTTTGGACCTATATTAGCATATTATTTTAATACTTTAGCATTTTATCATCCATTTTTCATGGTCTGTGTTTGACATTCTTGTGCAAAGGGCATTATAAATAAACACTATTATTATTATTGTTATTATTATTATTATTGTTATTATCTGTGAGTTTTAAAAATTGCCATGAGTATTTGGTATGATGTCCTTAATTTTCTTTTGTGATTTGTGGTCCACAGGTGGGAGGCATAGATGTAAGATGTTTGTGTTTCAGCTTCCAGCCCGGTGATAAGAAAAAGATTGCAGTGCCACAATTGTGTGTGTGTGTGTTGTGTGTGTGGTTGGGAGGAGGAATCCACAATGCAAACAATGGCTTTGCTTTTTCAGTTAGTTCTTCATCCCAAATCCCTAGTTTTATGGAGCAAATTGTTGGGTAGACCCTTGACTTTGACTCTGGAGGCAATATAACAGTAATGGTTTTTCTGAAAAGGATCACTGGGGAAGATAATTAAACCAAGGCTCACCTAGATGCTGTGGTAGTATAAATAAAATTGGAGACAATGTGGGCAGGACAGGAGAGAACTACATAATTTTATGTCATCACATAAAATTAGGTTGTCTTGATCATAACAAAGGCAACCTTATACATGCTATCAATAGCATCTTTATTGAAATGTTAGTGTGACAGCCCTGTAGAAATCCTCTTAAGGAGCACCTTAAAAGTTGAATTCTAGCATATTATTATATATAAGGCAGGCTCCTGCATGCCCCCATTACCAAAGCCGGGGCTTGCCGTCCACGGAAACTCAATTTGCAGATGGCAAGCCCACGGTTGGCGCGAGCTCGCTGTATACAACAAATCACAAGCCTAAAATGAATATATTGTCTTCGCCCCTGTTTACACCTCCCACCTACTTAAATTCAAAATCCCCTCGCTATATTTTCAGACCTCCTTTTAGGGTATACCTTTGGCATAATTTTCAGCAAAAGTGAAAACTATGCAATTAACTGAAGCATGAACTCAAAGTCTCATTATTAACTGTTCATCCTCCCTTTTATGTTCGCATTCTCGATATCTGTTGGCTCGGTAACTTCAAAAAGCTTCTCTGCCAAAAGATGACTGTCTCCATCTAATTACTGCTCTACCTTCTCTACAACATTTGTGTGGAATTCAAAAGATAACCCCGTTTTCATCCAGCGGGGCCCTGTAGTCCAAAAACTCTTAATTCCATTTCTATTAGCTTCTTACATGTGCACAGTCCTTCCTTCGTTCTTGTGGGGGGTCCGGGATGGCAAAAATGGAAAATTGCGTATATTCAAGCACTATCCAGCCTGCATTATAGCTTGGCTCACTTGCATGCTTCTCAGAATTGTTGATTCCCAGGTGTCTCTAATTAGAAGAATGGCTTCTACTCAAAATGGTCGTCCATGGCCCTGTGGCAGTACCCAAGCCATCTGCTGCTGGTTCCTAGAGAGCGTACAAGGTCCCATTGCAATAATAATCCAGTTTGGGACCACCTTAACTGCTCTGGCTCAGTGCTAGGGAATCCTTGGAATTGTACAGTCGATCCTCTGTTCTTGTGCGGGTTCGTTCCGGACCCACCACCACCACCTGAATAAAAAGTCGTGTATATTCAAGTTCCATAGGCTTGAATGGAGGTGTGCGCCCGTGGGAGCACACCGTGGGGGCGCATCCCATTTTGTCCCCCTCCATTCGCTGCCTGCGGATAGGCGAGGGACATGGATCCCAAGTCTGCAAGAACAGAGGGGTGACTGTAGTCTATTATGGCACTATAGCTCTGACAGAGAAGTCTCAACGTCTTACAAAACTACAGTTCCAAGAATTTCTTAGCACTGAGCCAGAGCAGTTAAAGCGGTCTCAAATTGGATTATTTCTGCAGTGTGTTTTGGACCCAAGAGAGAAAGAAGTGCCTGTAGACAATGGGCACAAATATGGGTATTAATGGCTGGCACATAATGGCTTGGAGGCAGTGTTTCTCTGCTTGTATATAGTGTTGACTGGAAGAATGCCTTTTTTCCCCCAGCTTTGACTGTTCTGAGAAAAGAAATACATTAACATAAATTTTTAATCCATGTTACTGCATATGACTGTGTCTTATGGGGAAGATGTTTCATACAATTGTACCGGGAAAAGATGATTTTAGCCTCAAATAAGTAGCTACATCACTCGTTTACCCTTATTATTTTTTAAAAGCATTTGTGCCCTCCTCCTTGTTGTTGTTAGCTGCCTTCAAGTTGACCTCGACTTACAGTGATCCTGTGAATGAGATACCTCCAAGTCATAGAACCATAGAGTTGGTAGAGAACCCAAGGGCCATCTAGTCCAGCTGCCTTCTGCCATGCAGGAATACACAATCAAATCATCCCCTACAGATGGCCATCCAACCTCTGTTTAAAAACCTCCAGAGGAGACTCCACAATACTCCAAGGTAGCATCTTCCATTGTTGAACTGTTTTTATTGTCAGGAAGTTCTTCCTAATGTTGAGCTGGAATCTCTTTATCTGTACTTTGCATCCATTGCTCAGGATCATGTTCTCTGGAGCTGCAGAAAGCAAGCTTGCTCCATCCTCAGTAGGAACCTCTTCAAATATTTAAACATGGCTGTCATATCACCCCTGAACCTTTGTTTCTTCAGGCTAAACATACCCAGCTCCCTAAGTCACTCTCATAGGACATGGTTTCCAGGTTTCCATGATGACTCTGTCATCGACAGTCTTGCTCAGGTCTTGCGAATCCAGTAGACATCTTAAATCCCACTATAGAGTCCCTGCCATTTTGCTTCTGATCCAGTTATCTTTAGGCCCCAAATAAGCAGTGTTAAGTGAACAATGTGTCTTTATTGTATGATGTTCCATTTAGAGTGTTTTGATTTGAATCATGCCAGAAATCATTGAGAAAAAGATTTGAGATCTGAGTGCTTATTCTATAAAGAGAAGGTAACAAATTCATAGAGTCAAAAACCATTGTTGTATGATAGAGAAACCTTCTTCTTCTGGGTGGAATCCAATATTCCATCTCCTCCTTTAATATCAAAATAGAAAGTTCTGTTTCTTGTCATCATTCTGTTCCTGACATGAACTGCCTACTACTGATATATTATGCTAATTACTGTCTGGCTGGATATTCTCATTAACATTTTTAAGTTATATTAGAGAAGAAGCATTCCTTGCCATGCTGTTTTGAAGAATGACTGGATGCTATGGGGGGGGGGGCAGAGTGCACATCTATGACTGTTTTGGCTAGACATCTGATTAACATTTCCAAATTCTGTTAGATAAGGTGTATTTCATGCCAGGTAGTTTTCAGGAATGACTAAATATAATTGGTGGCAAAAGTGCATAGTTGTGATCGTATTCTATAGACAGTTTGCCAATCCTGGTGGAAATGCATGTCTGAGGCTGCTGGAAGAGTTGTATCTAGCATGATTAGACTAGAATGAAAGGACTGGCTAGAAGTATCGCTGTAGGCATTATACTTTACTAAAGCTCCTTAAGATGGAATAATTATTTAGCATTATCTCTTAAAAGTAAGTAAAATGGAATTTCCTGGTAAATACATAGACTGATATGTGTTTTTTTGAAGTGGGCTTTTCAAAGAAGTTAGGTAGGTGGTAGACATATAGTCTCCTCGGCACTGTACTGGAAGCTTGGAAAGTAACCATTTTGTTGGTGCAACATTATTTTAAATAAATCATGGGTCTTAACTCTTGTTTGTGCTTTGGATTTTGGATTTTAAAAGCTGGAGACATGATTTATTGACTATCCTTAAATATGCACTCTTGAGTGCTTTCTTTCTTCTATAAAGTTTCAAATATCAATGTTTATATGCTGTGTGATCTATCAAAACAACTTTCTGGTTCAAAGTAGATTTAGTTTACTGCTTACTGTTGTAAAGTGCATTACAGTGTGACACATAAAGTTGCGGCTTGATCCACCAAAGACACAAACACATGTAAAGAACAAATCTTGCAAAGAAAACCCCATGGTAGGTTTGTTCAAGTCGTACTATTCCCAATCACTATGTATGGATGTGAAAGATGGACAGTGAAAAAAGCAGATAAAAAGAAAATTAACTCATTTGAGATGTGTTGGAGAAGAGTGCTGAGGATACCATGGAGAGACAAGAAGACAAACAAGTGGGGCCTTGAGCGAATCAGGCCAGAAATACCTCTGGAGGCTGAGATGATTAAATTGTGGCTGTCGTACTTCGGCCGCATCATGAGAAGGTGTGACTCATTGGAAAAGACAATAATGCTGGGAAAGGTGGAGGGTAGAAGAAGGAGAGGACGGCCGCATGTTAGATGGATGGACTCTACTAAGGAGGCCGCAGGTATGAGTTTACAGGAAATGAACAGAACAGTGGAGGAACGAGATTCTTGGAGATGCCTCATTCAGGGTTGTCATGAGTCAAAATCAACTTGACAGCTAACAACATTAACAAAGGTTTGTCTTAGGGTTGCCATAAGTTGGGAACGCCATGAAGGCACACAACAACAACAAACTGTTGTAAAGTGCATTACAGTGTGACACATGAAGCTGGGGCGTGATCCATCAGGGAGTCAAACACACATAAGGCAGGAAGCATGCTAGCCCCTCACCTGTGCTCTCTATGGCAGAGGAGCAGCAGTCTGAAAAGGAAGAGCCTTTTCTGTAGGTTGAATTGAAAAGAATTCAAAGACCTAGTTGTGCTAATCTAGAAAATCAGTCTGCAGGGGGATTTCATAGCACTTTTGAGACTCACTGAAAGAAAGAAGTTGGTAGCATGAGCTTTCGTAGA